GAGATACTTGTTAAGGTAGAGTACTTGAAGTTGTAACTGCCTACAGCTAACGAATTTCACAAAGTAAAAATGAAAATAACAAAGGTATAGTGGTAAACCTCTGCTACTAAAGCAGCTGTTTGACTCTTCAAGGCCCACACCTCATGAGGGCCAACAACATCCGATATCAAATTAATTGTTAAATTAGCAAATTCATTCCGCTCTGCAGCACTGAGCTCCTCCCACCTCAATCTTACCAGGTGCTGCAAAGATAAGTAAGAAATCATCAATTGATCCAGGAGAGTAATGGATACCACTAAGATATAGTTCCGCTTCTATAAAAAGCTGTACAGCACATTCATGATTAGAAATTCTAGTATAGCTAAAGGATAAGTTCCACCATGGCGATTAGCCAATTAGGCCCATGATGTTGCCTGGCGCAGAATATTGACCTACTAAAACAGCTGCGCATCCAGGAGCTAAGCATAGCAGAGATGTGAATGTCGCGATAGATTTGTGGTCATAATAAGAAGGATCAAGTTTGAATCAACAATATAGGTAATCGCCTGATAGGGTAGGGGTGGCAACAATTAAGGTAAAGCTTGTACAACATCAGTTGAGATGGTTCGGACATATCCTACGGAGGCCTCCAGAGGCACCAGAGGATAGAGAAATCCTAGTGTGAAAAGAGGCAGGGGTTGATCAAACCTGACACATGACATAAGAGGAGGGAATAGAGACTTAGAGAAGGGTATGAAGGAACAAGCATTGGTTAGGCACACATGGAAAACAACAATCCAAATACCCATAACATCGGCTAGACGGTCGGTCCCCATTTACTATTTTCATTACTATTAGTGATACCTCTTATTTTTCTTTTTTACCCTATTCAATTATTTATTTTCTTTCTTTTTCCTCATGTTGAGTTTCATCTCTATCCTACCCCAACTTATCTCGGAATAAGAGGCTTTGTTATTGTTACTGTTGCTTTTGGCTTGCTCAGATGGACCCCTGTTATTTTTCTATCACACTCCGGCACTGATCTGATCATTCTGAAATACCTCTGATAATTTTTGTTGTCTCCACATTTATTCATCAGCTTGTTAAATTAATGCTAGGTGTATGCAGTGAAAGTGAATGAGGCAAGAAAATAAACTGGTGCCTATTTTCTGTTGTAAAAACCCAGTTAATAAGAATTACACTGAATCCACGGAATCGACTCCATCTGTGCACAAATTGTAATCCAAGTGGTAGATAAGAGGTGAACCTGTGGTGATTTACAGCAATTACAGTAAAAGAATACAAGTACACTGAATTTACTGTTGCAAGTAAGTAGCTAGACAAGTGGAATTTCTCCTGCCAGAGGGCAGCTTGGCACTTAGCCGCTTGATTGCATTACATAGGAAAAGCAAACTTGGGATACAAGAAGTTCTCAACTACTACAGCATATTCTAGTGTATAAAGTAGATGCTAGCTTGGATGCTAAGGCACCTGAAAACAGCTAGACAGTGAATAGTAAATAGCTAAGTAGATAACTAGATACATGGGTAAGCACTAGGCTAAACCCTCATTTACTATGGATAATTTTGTCTTGGCCATTTATATGCTCTTATCTCTTGTGCTTGTGCTGGACACAGGCAAACAATAATGACCTACAGGAGTACAATACAATGATAATTACAGATAAAGAAAATATGTTTTCTCTGAAAAACTACAATGTTCAATGAAAAATGACAACAAAGATCATAGTAATCAATGCAATGAACACCATGATCGTGGTGATCAACATGACCATAATCATCACAGAATGGCTTTACCGCTATGATTCAACCATAGGAAAGGCAATTGCTAGCAAGGTAAGTAAAAAGTTGTAGTTGCCAAATAACTTATAACAAAGCAACCAGACCAAATCAAAGAACAGTGCCATGCTCAATTTGATCTAACACCAACTATACTAATCACTTGCAAAGAAATATATGGGTCAGTGTTAGACAAGTTCAATAGGGATAGAAAATGAAATGTTATTGCCTCCATTAAGGAAAAAGTGCATGTTAAGATGTCCACATTTACTAAAAGCAAGTAAACAACAGGTTTCCACATATTTGTTATTGCTCATGTAGCTTTGTGAAATTTGAGTGTTGACCTCAAGTGCACCTGAAGTCCTAAACAAATACTGCAAGAACAACTGGGGAGTGTACAGATTTTATGCTACTTATCGCTAAAGCAACCCATACAATCCCAATCAAAAGAATCACAAAGACGGATTCAAGCTTTACCTGCAACATCTTGAACCCGTGCAAGCGGATCTCTGACGTCTGGTCCTTCCGAACCAAGAGAAACGATGTGCTTGCCAAGGCTCGGACGTCTCCACTCTTAACCTGTAGTTAGTGAGCCTTGTTAGCACACTGTCTGCATTGCATTTAGGAGGAACGGGGCATCACAGGATTTCTAGAATAGCAGCAGGAATGTGGAGTCAGAGTAAGGAATCAAAACTTTACTAGTGGGGGCAGTGTTAGCCATTAGACGCTAGCTCAAGCGATGAACAGAACAGTGGTAGCACACAAACTTAAGAACTCTATGGACCGATAGACACAAAAATAACTAAGTAAAACCAAATGCCCACAAAGCACTAGTGTGACAACCACTTCAATATTTGCTATCGACCCGCAAAGCCCGTGAAATTGCAGTTCATGGATTAGGCAAAAATCCAGCCACAACAAGCGGCATCAACCAAACAAGCTCTCTGCACCACGCTGCAACACCGGTCACAAGAGCAGACCAAAAGCAGACTCGGGAGAGCGACGCCCGAAGGGAAAGAGGAGGCTGACGGGGCCGCGGAGTAGCACAGACCGATTCGAGGTACGCGAAGGCGGCGGCGCGGGCGTCGGGGGAGGAGCGCCAGTCCATCACGGCGGAGATCGCGGCCGCCGCCGAAGCAGCGGCCGCAGCGGCGGGTTCGGCCGCCATCTTCGGGCAGTACTGTTCCCGACGGTTGTGGAAGGACTATGAGGACGATGGTGTTGCTAGGGTTCGGGGTGGGGCATTGGCTTGCGGTGGCAGAGCCGGCGGAGCGGCTAGGGTTTGAGCGGCGTCGCCGGGGGCGGAGATGGGCTCCTCCGCTGGATTGCGTGGGTTTAAGGCGGAGGGAAGCGAAGCGGGCGGAGTCAGGAGTGGGTGGGTGAAGAACGTGAGACGGGAAGGGGGGACTCGAGCCGAGGATCGAAGGGAGTAGGGGGCACGGCAAGAAAGGGAAGCGCTGGCGAAAAAGAGGTGGTCGGTTGCCGCGGAGGCGGATGTTTATTCCTTGCTATATTTCCGTGTCTTTCTTCTTTATTACCAAAAAAGCATGCCCGTGCGTCAAAGCATAACTCCCCTGAAGTCCTCGACCATAAAATTTGTAAAACTGCACTCGTACCACAAACAGAAAGAAGAGAGATACGAGTGCCTCAGCAGTCAGCTCAACAACAGTTTCCATAGATACCTGCAATCTTATTTACCAGAGATTAATAAGGCATCATCAATCAATGAATTGAACTTCAACCGCAGTCGCACATGCCAAAGTAATGTTTTTTTTTTCACAAAATATGGTAATCTACACGTTTTGACACCTAAAATTGTGCAAAGTGCCTAATTGACTTCTCCATCATATTTCTGTCATAAAGGCAGTCAGAAAGTATACTCGGATCATTGCATTTGGAGTCCGGACAAAGAAAACGGCTTTTCAGGGGCTAACCTAGCCGGAGTCAGCTTAGCCGCCTCCCAAACCAACTTTTCCAAGTTTCTCAAATGCAAGAATGGACCGCACCATTGTGTTTTTCTCATCGCGCTGATTGGAAAACATACATGTAATCACCTTTTTAGGGTCGGGATAAATTAATTATGAATTTTGGAAGCTTTTTGCCTCCACGTCCCCAAATCTTAGCCAACTTTGACAGGTCCAGAGCTGCCAGGAACCTGCAGAAATCGGCTTAGCTGACTCCGAGTCAACTTAGTCGACTTTGGCAGGTCCAGGACGGATCTAAAACGTGTTTGACGCGATTTGGAAGGGGTTTTCGACTTCTTGAAGGATAAGGTCATCCCTACCTTATAAATAGAGGTCCATGTCGATTCAGGTGTCTAACACACATAGTCGATCAAAAACCAATCGACACTTGTTTTTCATGAACTCTCTTCCAACCTCATGTTGTTGTTTATCGCTTAATTCGACGATCAAAAATGGCGCCCTAGTCTTACTGGCCGACATACGGAGTCCCTTCCGTGCCAGAGTTTCGACGGTTCTTATGCTAGTTTGCCTGAAAACTAACCGTTCTTCGTCATATAAGCACGACTCTCAAACCCTGAGAAAGTTGGCTGGGCCGATTCTCCAAATCGGCTAGGCGGTCTTGGCTGAATCGCCCCATCGGTCATTTGCCACCCATATGATCTAACACATTTATGTTCTGTGACCTGTCTTTGCGTCAACGGTGTGATCATCAGCAACACAACGAGACAATAATAATGCAACAACAGATAGCTAAAATAACATGAAGCACTATCTAACTCTAATAATTACATTTACATATTTACTAAAACCAGCTTTACGGGGTTCAATTTTTCATTTGAGACCGTGCTTAATATTTCATCTGTCCCTGAATAAATAGATCTTAAGTCAAACTTTTAAACTTTAACCAAATTTATAGAAAAAAAACATTAAGATTTATGGTATCAAATTAGTATAATTGGATTTACCTAGAATATATTTTCATAAGGTGCTCATTTTATGCTATAGATGTTGTTACTCTTCTCTATAAAGTTAGTAACACGGATTTTAGGAATTAATTTATTTGCGGAATGTTAATTGCTAGTGTGTGTTTTTTTACCACCGATTGTGATTACGGAGCGTGTTAGCTCCAGCTCCAAATAAAGACGCTCCTCCTGCAGCGCCCATTCAGCTCATCCATCTCCCGGATTCCAACGCGTGTCCATCCTTGACCCCCGAAAGCCGAAAGCCTCGAGTCCCCTTACCGCCGGCGGCCGCTGCCATGGACGTTGGCGCGAAGGAGGAGAGGGATCAGGTGTGGTGGGGCCACCGCGCGTGGTCCCTCCTCTCCGCTGTCCGCACACGGGCGCCGCTAGTGCAGTGCATCACCAACCTCGTCTCCATGGACATCGCCGCCAACATGCTCCTCGCCGCGGGCGCCTCCCCGGCCATGGTCCACTCCCTCCGCGAGGTGCCCGACTTCACCCCGCGCTGCGACTCCGTGTACGTCAACGTAGGTACGCTCTCCGAGGACTGGCTCCCCTCCATGCGCACCGCCGCCTCCGCCGGCCGCCCGTGGGTGCTCGACCCCGTCGCCGCCGCCGCCTCCGGGTTCCGGATGGAAGCCTGCCTCGAGCTCCTCTCGCTCTTCCCAGCAGTCGTCAGGGGGAATGCCTCTGAGATTCTCGCGCTCGCCTCCCGCTCAGCCGCCGCCTCTTCCAATTTCAAGGTACTTCTCTACCTTCTCCCGACGTTCTTCTGTTATTTCTTCACTAATTCCAATGCAATCAAGGATAAGAGAAAGACTAACGAGATTATATGGATTTATTATGGATCGCACTGCCTAGGTGCACTATGAAAAACAGTGATTTAACTGAATTGGGGTAAATAAAATGGAAATCTCGCGTCCTCACAAACCACAACTTTTAAAGTTCAAACCTGTATACACCTTTGCTACTGCATTTTTCTATTGACTGATATGATTCACATGCTCCTAAGTCCTAACTCAAATCCAAGCAAGTAATAAAAATCCTAACTGAACTAGATGGAGGAACTGTTTGATTGGTTTATAAGTGACACAGCCTAGGAGTATTAGGACTAAAATACCCATTAGTTAACTGAAAAAACGGAAAACAAGAAATTATACTCTAATGTTGTCACCATGTTCTGAAAATTTAAAATATAAATCACTGCATAAACTTTTTCTCCTCTGCTACATTTCTATTGTGTGATTATTTCCATTCCCCTTTAACTCTTCACAGTTCTCCATGGCCTATGACAAGCATGTGTACTTGTTAGTCTCCTGAGTGTTATGGCTAGTTTCAGTACGATTTTATCTTGATCAATGCCAAATTATACCCTTTTAGGACTCCAGGAATATCTAGGCCCCTTCTCTTTGTACTGTGCAGATTAGCAACACAAATACACCAGTAATAGCATTCTATTCCCATCTTGTTGCCACTGGAATCAACTTCTGATCAAATTGCAGGGTGTGGACAGTTCACATGGCTCTGTGGATGCTATTGAAGCTGCAAAAGCATTGGCACTGTCCAACAGCGCTGTCGTAGCAGTATCCGGAGCTGTTGACTTCATCACTGATGGCAAGCAGGTTGTCGGCGTGAGCAATGGTGTGCCCATGATGCAGAAGATCACCGCAACAGGGTGCGCTGTGACTGCTCTTATTTCTGCATTTGTCGCCATGGAACCTTCGGATGCCGTAGTTGCAGCAGCATGTGCTCTTGCCATCTTTGGTCTGGCGGGTGAGATTGGGATGGAGTCAGCCAAGGGGCCTGCCTCTCTTAGGATGCACCTCATCGATGCTCTCTACTGCCTCGATGAAGAAACGGTCACCTCTCGAGTTAGGATTTCCTTGCGACCATGATGCACGGACGCGTGCCATGGCTACTGTTTTTCAGGTAAACACGGAGTTTGGAATAATGCAAAGGCTGAGTTCACTTTCTGAAAGGTCTTGATAACCATGATACGAGGCAGATCAGTGATTGCTCGTCCGTATGGAAATCATGTAGACACTCCTGTGACTTTCACGACTGTACGAAATACCTAGGTGTGATGCCTAAATTTTGTGCCTGAGAATGAGGAACCTTGTTATCAGTCCAGACTGAAGATATGGAGGCACGATGGAATAATGCACATCACTGGATGTGTGTTCTATCTGTCGATGTAGGCACGTTGAGATGATCAAGCCATGTAGACACGAGAAACATGGAGGCATGTTGTGATGATAAAGAGGGCTACTGTCAAGAAGATAGATATAGTACACCTGACAATCTGACACCAAATGTTGAGATGGCCGAGTTGGTCTAAGGCGCCAGATTAAGGTTCTGGTCCGAAAGGGCGTGGGTTCAAATCCCACTCTCAACACATTTTTTTATTTTTTTTTCACTGGCTTTTTTTTTATTATTTTGCTCTTCCATATTCTTTACAATTTATTTCTGCTGGCCTCCATCTTCCTTCACCATATTCTTTAAATTTACATTTTGTTGTTTCTTCATGTATATTATCATTCTGGCCTTTTCCTTATGCAATTTGTCATGATATCTGTTCCTACGATGCATGTAGATGCAGATCTCCTTATGCAATTTGGCATGATATTAATTCTGGTTTCGACCCTTGAGTTCAAACATATATTTCCTTCGTCCTAAGAATGCAATTATCACTTTTCAATAAATCAAACAATTTTAAATTGATTAATAAATCTCTTAAATACTGACATTTATGATAACAAATATTATGTTAGATTAATCATAAAGTATATACTCTATATTCTTATAGTATATCTATTTGAAGTGGTAAATGTTAGTAATATTTTTCTACAAACTTAGTCAATTAAAACATGGAATAATATTCTTTTTGGGATGGAGGTAGTATTATCTAGCTATACTTGTATCTAGCTATACTTGTGTATCTTTAATGCCTGATTGGTTGACTTCCAAATTTTGTCAAATTAAAGATTTGATAAGCCATGATTTTGGCTATTATTTGGTTGGCTATCAAAACTTGCCAACCTCTCACATTTGGCTTGCCAAATCCATGTCAACTTTTTTACCTAATTTTAGCTTGCCAAATCTTTAGCACGACAAACTTTGGTCGCAAACCAATCATGCCCTTAAATTGTATTGTTGTTGCCCTCCCATTTTCCTGTACCATATTATTTAGTTTACTTTTAGTTGTTTCTTCGTGTATTTATCGTTCTGGCCTCCCAATTTCGTTAGATTTCCTTATGCAATTTGACATGATATCCGTTATTACCATGACGCATGCAGATGTGGACCCTTATGCATTTTGCCGTGATATCAATTCCGGTTTCGACCCTTTAGCTCAAACATGAATTATATACGCCCTCCGTCTTTATAAGAATATACAACACTCACTTTTCAATAAGTCAAACAATTTAAGATTGATTAAATTTATACAAAATACTAAATACTAAGATTATGATACCAAATAAGTATCATTATATTAGATTATTAATCATAGAATATTTATTATATTATATCTATTTGTAGTGGTACAAGTAATATTTTCTATAAACTTAGTCAATCAAAACATAGATTGCAATCAAAACTTAGAATTAGATTTTTTTTTGTTGGAATGGGAGTACTATTATGTAGCTATACTTCAGTAAATGCGAACTCATCATCGCCGGACCATGGACGAATGGATGCAAATTGATTTTCGATCGCTCCCAGTAGCGATGGACTGAGAATCAAATGAATCCTGATTAAAGGGAAAGGAACAAAAACATCGCAATATACCTCACCACCAGATCGATCATGTTGTTTGAGTAGGACTCGCATATAACCTGTTAGCTCTACTTGTTAAATACTAGTATGTAGTAATTCTGATGGCTAGATCATGGAAATTAACTGAACGTAAGTGTCCATCTAATTATACCTGTCTCCAATCCAATATAATTGCATCCAATGCAAGCAAGCATAGTCTGTCTATCTTTAATCCCCAGCAACAGCTACACTAGTAGCTTACATTATGGTTTTCTCTTCTCTATACTAGTAGCTAGTAGTAGGATGAGCTCTTGTGGATGGTGAGGATGCTGAGCATGAGGAGGACGAGGTTGGCGAAGGCGGCGATGAGGGAGACGATGACGGCGGCCATGGCGCGCTCGCAGAAGCGGCCGTAGACGTTGCAGACCTTGGCCCAGCGCACGTGCGAGTTGCCGCGCTCGCCCAGGATGCCGAACTCGGCGGCGGCGCCCACGGCCGAGTAGAGCAGCGCCAGCGCCAGCAGGTCCCCCACCATCACGGGCACCATGGCGGCGCGACTCCGGCACGCCGCCAGCGCCGCCGCCGAGAACAGGCACACCATAGCGTTCGCCACCACGAAGTAGCTGCGTGTATACATGCATGTGTATGCATGCATGGAAGCACATGCATGTTCAGTAATTAATCAGTGTATGATGAAAGTGAAATATACTTATTTTGAGAAAATGAAATTCGGTGGCGCTGTGTTTATTAAGCTTGGATGTTTCAGAGAGCGACGAGCTATTTTGCAGGAACAAATGCAGACATGACACATCTTATTGTGCGTACACAGTGCAACACATGTTATAGCACATACTAGTACCATCTGTTAGACAGTGAAGGGAAGAAGTAGTAGTTTGTACTGTGTACTCCCAATTATAATTAGAGTAAAGTACACTGGCGGTCCTTCAACTTATTCGTCTATATCATTCCGGTACCTAAACTCGTAAATCGACCGTTTAGATCATTAAACTTGTTCATTTGTGTCATCCCGGTCTCTAAACTCGCAAATCGCTTGTTTAGTTCCTCAAATTTGTTCAACCGTAGCATCTAGGTCCCTAAACATGTAAAACAACTGTTTAGGTCCTTAAACTTGTTCAGTTATATCATCCCGGTCTCTAAATGTTGTAAATATTGTAAACTTGTAAATTCAATATATATTTATAGAACTGTCCAAAAATTATAAATCTAATTCTGTTAGACTCTTGGTAACTTGTACTTTAAATTAGAATAAAAGAAATCATCATGTACTTTCTATTTTTAACTATGTAGTTAAATGAATAAATAGTCACGTATATTTTTATAAATCCTAAAAATGTATGTGCCAATTTAGTTATTGAACTATAGAGTTATTTAAACTACATGTTACCCGAAGCTAACAGAATTAGATTTATAATTTTTGGGCAGTTCTATAAATATATATTGAATTTATAAGTTTATAGTATTTAAGGACCGAGGTGACACACCTGAATAAGTTTAAGGACCTAAACGGGTGATTTGCAAGTTTTCGGGCCTAGATAATACAACCGAACAAGCTTAAGGACCTAAACGAGCGATTTGAGAGTTTTAGGACTGAATGACACAAATGAACAAGTTTGAGGACTTGAACGGTCGATTTACTGAGTTTAGTGACCGAGATGACACAGCCGAACAAGTTCAAGGACCACCAATGCACTTTACTCTTATAATTATATAGGCAAAATTGGCTACGGGACACTGAAAAGTGACCTCTATTTGCTGCTGGACATGCAAAATAGAGAAGTTTCCTGATAGACACTTTGCTTCTTGTTAAATTTGCTGGGGGACACCGGACTGAATAAAATATTCATTTCTAGATTCGGAGGAGAGAGAAGAGCAGTGAAATGTCCTTAATACCCCTGCCTCTTTCTCGTTTCCATTTTTCCTTCTCTTTCTTCCCCACGCCGCCCACGCCCTGACCCGCTGCCGCCACGAGCCGAGCCCCCGCGGCCTCGCCCGCTCCTCCGCCCCGCCCTTGCCGGCGGCCTCGCTAGCACGTCGCCCCTCCCTGCACCAAGTCGAGCCGAGCCCTGGCCCCGTCCTCGTCCCACCCCGCTTGGGCTAGGGCTGCCATGATCGTGCTTTCGTCGCGCGCTTATGGCGGTCAGGCGGCCGCCAGCCGCATGGTGGCTATGCTCGCCACCCCGGCCCAGCACGCGCGCGCTCGAAGCTTTCGGCGGCGCGCAAAGGGGCCCATGCCGCCGCCGCGCGCTCACCCGTTCCCCGGCAACCCCGCCTGGTCGAGTGCGCCCCGATGGCTCCGCTTGGCCGCGCCCCGGTTGTCACGTCGGCGCCCCGGGTCCGTGGCGGGGCGGTCCCGTGGCGAAAGCGCGCTGCTAGTGCTCGGTCTGTGTCGTAGCCGCAGCAGACGAAAGAGCAGTGAGCAAGCGACACGGCAGCGGTGGCGGCGTGAGCAACCGGCCCGAGCAGCGGCGGTGGCACGTAGCGTAAAGAGACGAGAGGCGGTGGCCCGGCAAAGAACGGTGCTGCGGCAAAAGCTGCTGCAGCGGTGGTGCACAAGAGGCAAGTGGCATCGGCGGCGGCACGAGTAGCCGAGCCCAGGCAGCAATGGCGTGCGGCAGTGAGCTACAGTGGTGAGCGCTCTCATCAGGCAATCAGCAGCGGCAGTGGCGCGAGCAACCAAGCCAGGGCAGCGGCGGCGTGCGGCCGCAGGCTACAGCGGCGCAGTAGCAGCAGCAGCACCACCAGCCAGATTTGGCCACAGGCTGTGCGATGTGCTCTGCTCTTGGAGTCCGCGGCGGCCCTCGTGTCCACGGCGCAGCTAGGCGAGCTGAGGAAAAACAAGAGAAAGAGAGAGAAGAAGAAGAAGGAGCCAGGGCAAAAAGGACATTTCCTCTTTGTTCTCTCTCCGTAGAAGCCAGAAATGAATATTTTATTAGCCACGGTGTCCATGAGCAAATTTAACAACAACGACAATGTCCACCAGCAAATTGCTCCATTTTACATGTCCCGCTAGCGAAGAGGAATCACTTTTGAGCGTTCTGTAACCAATTTTCCCAATCATATATCGGTGGGTTTTGAAAACGAGAGGGAGTAAGTGAGTGCGTGCCTGCGTGGTAATAAT